GAAAACCGAGTCTAAAAATAACTCCTAAAACTTCCTGTGCTGCTGGCAGGTGGCTGGGACAGGCTGCGGGGGCGGGAGGCAGCTGTGGGGCTCGGCGGCAGTGCCTCCTCGCTTTTCATGGGATAACTTGGGCAGAGGGGTCCCGGGGGGTGCCAGCCCCCTGTCACCCACCCCAGCTGCCTGCTGGGCTGCCTCGCCTCTGGTTGCACTCGGTGGCTGGTTCCAGCCAAATTTGGCAGAGATCAGAGGTGCTGGGACCTCCTGGGAGAATGCCAGGGAGGGGGTGGGGAAGCTGCAGGCAGTGCTGAGCCCTCATTAGACACTGGAGAATCCAGCAGCAGCGGGCCGGGGCTGCCGAGCTCTCCTTGTGCTGATCCAGCGCGGCTGGTCGAGCAGGTGATGGGTGTTTGCAGCTCCTCCGAGGCACCGAGAGGGCTCGGATCCGCTGCTCTCCCTGCTGAGGCATCGCTGGCCTGTGAAAGGGACTTGGCCGGGGATGGTGTCTCTATTGCCACCGGGTTTTCGTGCATTGCCTTCATCCAAATGATTCCCGGGTGATTCTGTGATGAGCAGCAAAGCTGCTGTCCCGGTTTTGACCCATAAAATATGAAGGGGAGGTCCTTCCTGGGGTGGAGAGTGGCAAGAGGTGGACAGAGAATAGAAAGACCCTCGGTGCCGGTGAGTTGGGATTGCCAGGGCTGTATCCTGACAGCCCTCAGCGCTCTCCCTGCCTGGTAGCAGCAAAGGGAATCCTGGAAARCCATCTGTGAAATGAATGAGGTTCRAGCACCCAGAGCAGCAGAGCACACACGGGTGACGGCAGAGGAGGATCTGCCGAAGCCGGTGGTGACTTTTGGGTGCCGGGAAGGTTTCCATCCGGATGGAGTGGGGCTGGGGACAGCGGCAGCACAGCCGCGTTGGGTTTTGGGTGCCGGGGTGTGCGGGCTCGGGAGGACGGGAGATAACAGCTCGTGTCCCGGGGAAGGCGAGGGAAGCGGCTGCGCTGAGCCGGGMGCTGGGATGAGCTGATAACGGGCACATGGCACTGCCCCAGGGGAGCGGGGGTGGCTGCCAGCATCCCTCCTCCCTCTATCTCCCCTTTCCTGCCCTTTCCACCTGCGGTGAGACCGTGCCGTTGAGGAGCAGCCGCCGGCAGAGACCACAAGCGGTGTTGGTCGCTTGTGGGCTGGAGTCTCCTCCGCCCACAGCAGTGCCGAGGGTGAATTTAATCAAGAAAACGGAGGCTGGGCGGCTGATTTCTCTCTCCCYCTCTCTCTCTCTCTTCTGTTTCTTTTTTTCCTGAAGAGGAAAAAAACCAAACAAGTTTGTTTGTGAGTCACTGTTGGCCGAGRGAGCAGGGCTGCGCTCAGTGCATCAGGCTGGCACATCCCACCTCGCACGGACGATGCTGTGGGAGGCACCGCCGGCGGCTCTGACTCAGCCCACCCTGAGCACAGCCCCTTTCCCGCACTGCCCACCTCGCTGCCGGTGTCTGTGCCCTGCGGACAGCGCTGGAACCGCGGRGACACCGGCAGCACAGCGTGGCGGAAAGCACTGCCGCTTTGAAGTGGCCTCGGCTGATCACCGAGGAGCTCGGTGCAGCCTGAGCTCACCCTGGGGACAAACCCCGTCTGTCAGTCCGGGCACAGCCACTTCCTTGGCCATGGGGTTGTTCCAGCGCCAGCGTGCCCGGGCTGTCTTTGAGAAGCTGCCATCAGTGCCAGTCCTGCCTGGGGAGCCCCATTTTGGTCGCCCTCGTGTCCGCAGGGAAGGAGGAGCTGATCTGGAAGCTGGAGGCTGAGCTGGCTCAGCCCCGGTGGGACCCACCGTGTCCCTGTCCTGCCCCATCGGGACAGCTGGCCCCATGATGGAGCAGAAGGAGAGCATTTGGGCCAGGCTGGGGCTTTCCCAAAAAAGGCCTGAACTCTTCAGTTGAGTTTGCCACTTCCCTTACCACTCCCTTTCCTGTGAGAGGATGTTTGGCCGCTTTTCTTTTCTCTTTCTCTCTTCTTTTGTCCCCAACCTCCCTGCCCGCAGAGCCGGCGGTCCTGGCGATGCCCCGCGCCCCCTGAGCTGGCCGGGGTCACTCTGGCTGGCACCATGGCCAGGCTGCAGGTACGGACACTGCCCAGCAGCTGCTCCCACACCCCCCCAGCCCTCCCAGCACCCACGCCACGGGGTCGRTGGGCACATCAGGAGTCAGCACAGGCTGTGCTGGGGGTGCCCCTGCGCTGGGGTGGGCGCTGATTTGTGCTCCATGCTGCGGAGTTGGGGGTGGCTGCTTTGCCCAGGGTGAGGAGGGCACAAGGAGCTTCATGTGGAGCCGTATGGGATGAGGCCGACATTTCCACAAGGCCTGGTAGAATGGGGGGATCCCCTTTGAAAGTGATTTTGGGGAGAGCTTGTCTTGTCCAGTTGCACAGAGGGTCCCCTCTGCATTCAGYGAGGGGACAGTGTGGTGCCAGCCTCACAGGGACATCATGGGCACGGGAGCTGGCACAGCCCAGGGACACCCAACACACACTATGGACTTCCAGACTCACAGGGGGCTTGGGGAGCTCAGGGAGGGCAGCTTTTGGGGAGTCTCTTCTCACTGTGGGGAAATGTCCTCTTTTTTGTTGTCCTTCCTCTTTTTGCAGCCTTGAGCGCACGCCCTCGCCTTCCCTCCAGCACTTCCCTGTCCGCYGGCCCCAGCAGCCCCATGGGGGGGCCTGGCACGGGGGCAGCTGGGGACAGCCCCACGGCACCCAGCCCCCACCAGAGCAGTCAGGTGGGGTGTGCCAGGGGCATTGAGGGGTGCACAGGGCTGGGAAATCATCCCTGCAAATCCAGAGCACGATGGCAGTGCCCTTCAGTGCCCATCTGAATGTGCTGGCCCTGGCCTCTGGCCTCTGGTGCAATCCAGGTATGCTGGCCCTGCCTTTTGGTGCCAATCCAGATGTGCTGGCACTGCCTTTTGGTGCCAACAAGGATCACACCACCTTGGTGCCGTGGCCCGAGGTCCCTGTGCAGCCCCWCARCTCCCTTCCCCCTGTTCCCCAYGTCACAGCCCCCCCATGTCCCACARCACCCCGGGGGGACAGTGACCTGATCCTGCTCCTGGCCAGGTGCTGAGCACACCCCTTGGCATGGGAGGGGGATGCTCCTGCCAGGGGATGCCCCCTGCTCCTGCTGCCTCTCCAGGGCATGTTGGCTCAGCCTCTTGCGGGTCAGCTCTGGCCAAGGARCAAAGCAGAGTACCTKGATGTCCCCACTGAGCAAAGCCACRTGCTGTCCCCCCATCCTGGTGCCTCAGTCACCCCCAGTCCAACCGTTCCACAACCCAGGGCTGTGACAGAGCCAGGGTGAGCAGGGAGGGAGCAGAGTTTTCAGTTTTCAGGTTGTCCCCCTGCTCACCCCATTCCCACAGCCTCAAAACCACCACTGGTACTGCACTGGTGCTGCACTGGTGCTGCACTGGTGCTGCGGCCCCCAGCAGCGCTGGGATGAGCACTGGGATGTGGTGGGCAGGGGAAAAGGGGTCCTGGGAGTGGAAGATGCTTGGGCCAGGGGAAGCAAAGGAAAGGGGAAAAGTGGGGGTTTGGGTGGTCCCGAGGACAGCACGGTGCGAGAGGGAGCGGGGCTGCTGCTGAACCGGTGACAAGGTCAGAGCCACCCTGCCAGCACTCGGGGCTATAAATAGGGACAATTGGAGTGAAACACAGACTCTCTTTCTCCTTTTTCATTCCTGCAGGAGCACCGGGACTGTGGGAGGGTTTGCGAGGGCCCAGGAAAGCACTGCTGGGTGTTGGCTGTGGTGGAACAGGGGGGCTCTACCCCAAGGGCTCACAGAGGGCTCTGGGGACAGCTGTGTCCCCAGCAACATCCCACAAACCATGACTCTGTCCCATTGCTGAGTCCACAGCAGGACTCAGACCCAAGGTGATGAGACCTGGGGCAGCTCRAGGTGGGGATGCTGAGGCTGAGATGTCCAAGGGCTCTCCCTGCCTGCTGCCATTGCTCCCATTCCATCCTTCTGGCAGGGGAAGGACCACGATTGCTGCTCATCACCCTTGACAAGGCCCAGGGAGGCAGACCCAGCTGTGGCCATGACACCACTGCCCATGCTGAGCCCAGCACCCTGCTCAGGAGCATCCCTGCTCCAGGCTGAGCCGGTGGTGCAGGCAGGGACAGGCAGGTGGCATGGGACAAGGTTTGGTTCAGCTCCAGGGGCTGTGAAAACTCACCACCACCACCCTGTTTCCTTCCACTCACGTGATGCCATGGAGCAGCTCTGACTTCCCCATCCCATGCCTGAAGACACCAGAGATTGCAGCCACTCTTCCTCTTAGCTCGGAGCATGACCAGGGGTGAGCAGGGCCAGCACAGCCCCTCACCCTGTCAAGCCCCTCTGCTGCCTGCAGTGACCCCCACAGCACCCCCAAAGTGTGGGATGGGATCCCAGGCAAAGCAGGAGGCTGGCAGAGCATCTCCCAACGCATTTSCTCTTCCACTTTCCTTCTCACTTCCTTTTCTTGCACTTTCTGCCTGCTGCCTTGCCCTCGCTCGCTGCCTGCCCAGGGCTTTCCCAGCGCTGAACAGCCCCCGGAGCCACTCAAAGCCGGGGGCTCCTGTGCAGTAACTGGTGCCTCTCCTCTCCCTCCCCACAGGCTCCACCCAGGAGGCGGCAGGGACTTTAGCCGGGGGGTCTCACGGCTCACCCGCGGGCTGGGAGGAGCAGAGAGCGGCAGAACAGCCCCCGAAGCACGACCCAACCCCGTCCACCGTGTATGAGGCTGGGACGCAGGTGAGGGGTGACCAGGGTGGCAATCAGGAGCCAAACCTGAATCACAGTGACTGCACGGKGTCCCTGCTGCGCCTCTGTGTGCGTGCACACGGTGGGGATGATCACTGGCAGTTCACTAACCTTGCTGCACCCTTTCAGTACGCAGGACCCGCGTCCGCAGAGTCACCCCTTCCGATGTCCCGGCATGAGACTTCTCCGACAACGGTGCAACCCGCCAGCAACCACCGCCCCAACGCCTGCTGCTTCTGCTGGTGCTGCTGCTGCAGCTGCTCGTGGTACGTGCCACTGCCCACCCGGCCCCGGCTCCTGTGGGGTCAGCGAGCATCACCCACCCGCCTCRTCATCCCGTAGGAAGGGCAGGTCATAGAATCGTAGAAAGGCTCAGGTTGGAAGGGATTGCAAAGATCATCTCGTTCCAACCCCCTGCCATGGGCAGCAGCACCTTCCACTAGAGCAGGTTGCTCCAAGCCCTGCCTGACCTGGTCTTGGACACTGCCAGGGATGCAGGGATCRCATGTGTGGTGTTGCTCCTCTGTGCTTTGTGCAGCACCAAGTGCTTGGACACGGCTGCTGCCTGGACAGGTGACCAGGTCTGAGGAGATGGGGTCCCACAGCAGCCCCCACTGCTGGGCTCCCTGCAGTGCAGTTGGGGCACCCAAGCCATGGCAGTGGCTGTGGGAGGGCAGCCAGGATGGAGATGGCCCTGCTCCCTGAGCTGAGCCTCTGGWCCACTGGAGTGCTGGTTGGGTTGGGAGCTGGGAGCAGGACAGGTGCATGGTTAGACAGGTGTGARCAGTGCCCTGGAGCACATGGGCCCCCAGTGGTGCTGTGGCATGGGGTTCCCCTGGCACAGAGCCCAAGAGCCCCAGCTGAGCCTGGGTCCACTGTGACTCCTGTTCTTGAGCCAACTCTCTTAGAACACAGAGCAGAAAGCAGCAGTGGGACTCCCCAGTGCTGCCCTGATGGTGTCCAGGGAGGGATGGCCCTGGTCCATATGAGCCCTCTGGGAAGCTGTRCCTTAAAGCAGCTGCAGGATCCAGCCCTGCCCTCCTGGCACTGCCCAAAGCCGAGGATGGAACCAGCTGCTTGCCTCCAGCTGCATCTCCTGTCCTTACTGAGRATCTCCAGCTCCTTATTCTCTGGAAAGCCCAGATATTGGAGAGCCCATCTGTTCTTCCTCCTGAGCATCTGCTGGCTCTGAGATTGCTGGTGGCTCCAGGCYTTGCAGCAGCTTTGGGCTTTACAGCCACCAAGAGCAGCGAGCTTAGAGGAGCAACAAACCCTGGAGCTCAGCCCTGTGCATTTCCCTCCTGACACATCCCCTGTGTCTCTCCTTTATCTCTGCAAGAGCCTGTGAGCAGGGATGGAGCAGAAATCCCAGAGAGGGGACAGATATCCCTCCTGTATCCTGTTCCTAGAGCAGGCAGTGCTGGCTGCTGAGTGGGGCACAGGCATGCCACACAGTGAGCCCTGGGGTGGCACAGGCAGGGACATGGTCACAGCTTCGTCCACCGCAGCCGCCCACGCTGGGGCAGAGGTTTGCACAGTCAGTCCTGCTCAAGCCACCAGGGACGGTGTCGCAAGCAGGAAGGGCTGCGGTCAGTGCCGGGCACCGAAATTCAAGGGCCTGAGGGAAGTTGGCTGATGACTGCTCTCCACTTGTGCCACCAGCCTCCCCAGGGGCAAGGGGACACGGGGACAGCAAACACTGTATCCCCCAAGCCCCAGCACCTCTATCCCACCATCTGCCTCCGGGCTGGACCCGTGCTGGCATGTCACCACTAAACCCTTGTTTATCTATTGGTGATTATTGGTGACAGTTCACGATGGCTTCGCCTTGGGCCGATCCAGCACTGACCTCTGCCGGCTGCTGCGGCCACTCTGGCTCAGCTCAGTCCTGGCACACATCCCTGGCACGTGGCCCTGGCACAGGGCCCACATGGTGGAGCAGGACTGGGGCCACAGCAGCGCCTGAGCACAGGGACACTGCAGGGACACCCCCACACAGTGACACTGCAGGGACACCCCCACACAGTGACAGTAAAGCTGCATGACAGAGCCAAGGTGCCACCAGGGCAGCGCGTGAGAGGAAGGCATGGGTGTGGGGGTGCTGGTGCCCATGGAGGAGATTCAGGGGTCAGGCTGGGGTCCACATGTGTCCCCAATGCCCCTGACTACCTTTCTGTCTCCCCGTTAGGAACGAGGACCGGGAGCGAGCATGGAGGGCATCCCGGGAGACCAAACTGGAGACCATCCCAAACTGTGAAGCGTGGTGAGTGCACGGGCGTGGCACTGTCCCCTCTGCCACCCTCCATGGCACCCAGCCCCGTGTCCTGGGTGACAGGTGTGACCCCCCCTTACACAGCCCAGCCTTGGGTGCTCTGTGCAGTGCCTGGCACAGTTGGGTTAGGGTCAGATCAGCTAATTAGCCGTGGATAATGAGTGTGCCTGGCCTGCTTGAGCAGTTGCTGAGCATTTGCTGGGGAACAGCCTCCCTCTCCCTCCCCAGCTAAGAGGGGTGWTGGAGTTATGTCAGCCTCTCTTGGCTCAGAGCTGCCTCTCTGCCGGGGAAGGGCTTTTGCTCCCTTTGGGATTTGTGCAAAGCCAGCACCAAAATACATCCTAGTTTGGGAAATCCAGCTAAAAGCAAGGCCACACTCCAGCCTGGCTGAGCAGAGCTGGAACAGACCCCATGAATGACCCCTGAATGCTCCATAACACTGGAGCCTGAGCAGGAACAGCCTTGGCATGAGCACGGGGATGTGTTTGGGTGCGGTTCCTCTGGGATGGGACCAGGGCTGAGCAGGAGGGACACAGTGGGGACCCGCAGCCCTCCCGGGCCGGCTGTAACCCCATCCCATTGCCTTCCCCCGGACCTGTCAGCGCCAAACCCACACCAGAGGAGGTGCAGGGCTGGGCACAGTCCTTCGACAAGCTGATGAAGAGCCCGGCGGGGCGCAACGTCTTCCGGGAGTTTTTGCGGACTGAGTACAGCGAGGAGAACATGCTCTTCTGGCTGGCATGTGAGGAGCTCAAAACCGAGTGCAACAAGCACACCATCGACGAGAAGGCCAGGATGATCTACGAGGATTACATCTCCATCCTCTCTCCCAAGGAGGTAGGAGGCAGAGCCTTTGAGGGGAGGGCTCAGGCTACAATGGGGCTGGGGAGGGCTCTTGGGGAGAGGGCTCTGTTCCAGCTGCTGAAAGAGCCTGTGACAATGTGGGAATGAGTTTTTCAGGGTAACAGCCGTGGGAAGGGAATATCCAGCCCCCCAAAATCTCCGGGATCGGAGGTGGGACCGCGGGCCGGGTTGTGCTGCGGGGCCGAGACCTCACGAGGGCACCAGCGGGCCGAGGAAACGCCGCATCCCGGCCCGCAGCATCCCCGGAGTGCGGGTACCCAGGGCGGGAGCACCCCGACCACCTCCCTGTGCCCAGCCGGGRGACACAGAGGAGACCCAAAGAGCACCCAGAGAGTCCCCACTTCTCCCTGCAATCCTCCCAAACCGCCACGGCTCCAGTGCCAGTATCCTCTGGGATGGAGCACGCTGTGGTCTCCCCRCATCTGGTGCTGCATTGATACCCAATTTCCCACGAGAGCGGGTGCAGGGATGGGTGCTGGGGCTGGGGGCTGGTCATTTGGTGTCCCCCAGCCCCCAATTTCTCTCCTGCCTCCCAGGTGAGCCTGGACTCACGGGTGCGGGAGGTCATCAACCGGAAGATGCAGGAGCCGTCCTCGCACACCTTCGACGACGCACAGCTCCAGATCTACACGCTGATGCACAGAGACTCCTACCCCCGCTTCCTGAACTCTGCCATTTACAAATCGCTGCTCCAGAGCGTCTCCCACTCCTCCTCGGAGTCCTAAGGGCACCGGCCAGCTGTGGGGACACCAGTGGGGACAYAGTGGCCAGGGGGGCTCGGTGCCTCCTCCCCTCTGCCGCCCTCCTTGCCAGCCCCCACCAAGTTTTTAGCTTTTTACCTATGAACTGTCACCCCGGTGTCTGGGCCACACTCCAGGACTGTCCCCAGGGCACAGCCTGGGCCAGCTCGTACTACTGATACCCTGCCCTGTCCCCAGCGTGGCTGGAGAGAGCTGGGGGAGCATGGGACAGCACCCGGAGCCTGGCTCCCCCCAACCCCTGTTTTGAAGAGGTCACTTTATCCCATCTCCACCACACCTGGGGACATGGCACGTCCCTGTTTGCCACCTGAGACCCAGTTGGAGACTGGGCTGGGGGTTTTTTGAGGTGGGGGGGAGGTCAACTGTTGTCGGTTTTTGTTTTTTTTTTACTTTTAATTTTAAATGCTCTTTTGGTTGGCTTTTACTGGGAGACTTGAGGTGTGGGAGGGGGAGCTGACGAGCATCTCTGTACATATAAAAACTTGTCAGGTTTACCTTGCTCCAGCTGTTTGAGGTGACCCAAAGGGCGGGGGGGGGTGCTAGACCCTGTTTGCATTCTGGATGGATCTGGATGGAGCAGAGGGCACTGTGGGGATGTGCTTGGGGGTGGGCAGGGGGTGTTTTACAGCTGCCTCCTTCTCCAGTCCCCATCACACATCAACACAGGACACCGTGCACTGTCACCCCAAACCCAGAGCATCCTGCATCCTTGCTTCATGGACCTCAGAGAGGGGACAGCACCCATGAAGGTGTTGTTTGCCCTCCTGCAGAACCCACAGGCACAAAGACCYCTGAAGGAGAGAGCTCCCAGCTGGCCCAGACCTGCTCTGGCAGCAGGGRRAAGCCCAKGGGTGTGCAGTGGTTCCTCACAGAACAGGGACTTGGGCTCCAAGCAGGATGGGAAATGTCACAGGGAGGATACACAACTCTGTGTTTTTGCACAGCACAAGGAATGATTTMCTGAAGCCCCAGCATACAGGATTAAAACATGTCTGTCCCTGCCCTTCACGCCGAAACAAAGCCAACACAGGGGTTTTGCTGCCAGTCTTTGCTTTTCCTGACCCACCACAGCAGTTTCTTATTTATCCATCCCTTCCCCTCCTCCCTTCAGCCCTTCCAAAGAAAAAAGTGCTTTTTAYTGAACATATTTTTTAAGCAAACCAATTCTTTCAGYTTTTTTTTTGTTTTTGTTTCCTTCCTTCCTCATGGCATGACTGTGTGGAAATTCATGTCAGTAAATTTAATTTTCTTTGCCAAGCTGGAAATACAGTTCAAGAAAATGTATTTTTGAGAGACCAGCATGGTTTATTAGGAATGTCAGTATTGTTGTTATTGGCAGGTTTTCCCCCAGTCTGCACCCTCACAGCATCCCCACCCTGCAGAGGGGAAGTTTTAGTTCTGGGTTTGTTCTTTAAGGGAAATACTCTCAAATGTGGCCCCAGCCTAGGGGTTGGAGGTTGAACATCCCTGAAGCTCTTCAAGAGCATGGCAGGGGGCCAAAGCCCCTTCACACAGCACAGAGGTCTCTGCACAAGGAATACTCCAATGCCACCAGATAATCTAGTTTTTCTCTTGCTCTCAATTCCTTTTAAACACCTTACAAGCAAATCTTCACTTCTGAAATACCTCTCTGTCCAGTGTGCTTCCCCTCCCTGGCTCYCCTTGCTGTTATCCCAGAAAATGGCACTGTAAAGTGACACGGTTCTTTGCCCAAACTCCTGCTTGGGACTCTTGGTACCTAATTTAGGATTGCCAGAAGGCTGTACACAAGCTCAGCTCCTCACAGAAACACAACCAMGAGGCACTGATAAAGAGCTGGCTCCCTTTCCCAGCGCATGAGCCAGTGCTGTGGTCAGCGTGGGTTTCAGCTCCTGAAGCTTTTTTTTCAGCATCACTGCGAGGACACTGCTCCCTCCCAAGCCTGGCTTRAACAATCCCATTCACCACAAGACTCGTGAGGCTTAAAGGAGTTGTCAGCATCTTTGAATATTTTCCTTCTTGGGAGACTTGGCTGCACCCTGTAAAGTGAAAGCCCTGAGCGAAGGATGCTGGTGGGATCCCTGCCTCCGGAGCAGCACAGCCCTCAAAGGGGCTGGGAGCACGTTTTCCGCTGCTTTCATGTGGCTGCTTACTCCTCTCCAAACATCTCCGAGGTCTCTGCTCAATGTCTGCTGTCTGGCATGCTGGGAAGCCAGTGGAAATACTTGTTTTTCATTCTGGAAGAGGGAAGCGATGCCATGAGAAATGTGACTGCAAATGCTCCTGCCCTGCTCGTCAGTACAAGAGCTGCAGGGCACAGCASTGCTTCTGGGCTGCCTCAGACCCAGAGGCCTTGCTGGGGTCCCCMAAATGCTGCATCACCCCAGTTAAAGGCTATGAAAAGGAAAGAAGAGGGATTTTAAGTCTGGCTGAAAGCTGTTGTGAGCTCAGAATTTCCCCACCAGGTTCTAGTTACCTCCCAGAAGGAGCCTCAACAGGCCCCTTTCACAGGGTCACATCTGCAGATGTGGCATCTGGTGCTGGCTTTGTTACTGAATCTTTTCCTTATCTGACCCCTTCCAAGTACCAGATCTGAACTCACTTCAAACCTCCACTTCTACAGCTAAGTGCTAACAGCTCCCACCCATCCCTCTAGCCCTTACCTTCTGCAGATCCAAGCCTCTGGAATTTTTCCTGTATTTGTAGCATTTTTCCTCCTCCAGAGCCTCTCCAGCAAAGCCYTCTGAAACTCCAGGCTGTTTTTCAGCTGTCAAGCTAAGAGCAGAGCACAAACAAGCAGGAAAGTGCYTGGGACTCCCTCTGAACGGTTTGGGGTGGGATTTTCTGTCACTGTCACCCTGCTTTCAGTCTGTTACAACCTAGAAACATTCTTATTTTTGCAGCTGCCAATGCTGTTAGCATTTAAAGGCTCGAGATGCCAAGGAATCACTGCAAAATCCAGTGAATGCTGCCAAAATGGAAAGCAACATCTGATCTGTGCCCCAAAAGCTGTGTTCTGTCAACAGTACTGTCCACCCAGCTGCCCCAGGGCTTGGCCCAGTGGTTGAGATTCCATGAGGAGACAGGAACAAGCCTGCACGCATCAAGGGTGAGCCTACAAGTCACATCTCACTTCCTGCTGCTCCAGGCATTATTCAGTCCTCATCCACCTGGATACAGACCACCTGTCAAGTTCCCACRCTGGAAAAACAAAGTGCTGCACACACGGTTGAAATAAAAGTCAGAAACTGACAAAAATGTTTAATATTAGTTTTGAAGAGAAAGTGAGCGTACTCGCTTAGATGAGAAGGTAATGACTGGGTGTGTTTAGTGAGCTCTCCTGCCAACCTGTCAGCCCAGGGCTGTGGCTCTCTGCGAGGCCCAGGCCTCCCCGCTGCTGCTCTCAGCRTGTGACAATGCAAACTCACTGGGACACAAAACACAATTGCCTTGGGAGCCGGCGTGTGGAGGCTGCGCTCGGGTCTGCGTTTGGCTGCCGCTTTTGGGCCATGGCACATGTCAGCAGAACTGCAAGAGAAGGGAGTTTAAACCCCAATTAGAAACCTSACTGCCAAGGGGAGCTGCAGAAGAAGGTAAGGATCAAGGTGTGGGCTTTTTTCAGAAGCTGGCAAGGGCTTGGGGGTTCTCAGTAGGGGCCAAAGGCAGCTCCTGTTTGAATCTGTCATCTGTGGCTCAGGCACTTTGTAGTGGCATCATTTCTGCTCGCCACTGACCAGGAGATTTCTGCTCACCCCAGAGCTCTGTGCACTCACAGAAAGAGCAGTTTTGAAATCCTGAACATCACCACCACTATCCCTCAGAGGGCAGAGGCTGCATGGAAAGCACTGTGAAGTAGGTTATGAGGAAGAAGGATATGAGGAGAGAGCAGGGAATGTGCAAGTGACACTTGACCCCAGCTGGTCTGCTGAGATGGGATGAACCCAGGAGCTCTTGCCTCTGTGCTGGGAGGGAAGATCACACTCTAGAGCCTTTAAGGGTTTGGCAAGCACCTCTGAGCCAAGTGCCTGCAGCATGGTGGTGCAGCCACCCCAACACCCCTCAGTGCCAGTAATAGCCCTGGTGCGCTACCTTCCAGCGATTCCCACACTCGTTGCACACGACGAAGGTGGTCATGGGCTCATCGGAGCTGCGGGTCTGCACCTGGTGGGGACAGAAGGGAGGTGAGAGCTGAGCATCACACATGGCCCTGTCCCTATGGCCTCCAGGGACTCGTGCTGGGCTCACAAAATCAAGGAGACACCGAGGCTAGGGAGGGCAAAAGGAGCTTTCAGTAAAATAAGTCTGGTTGTTGTTTTACACAGATACACACATTGTGAGCCTCTCCAGCCCGACATTACCTGAGTGACAAGTTTTAGGGCAGTGCATTTCCCTCCTCACCTTGTGTGCTGCCCATTCCTTGCAGGTGAATCCAGAGGCAGCCAATTTCTCCCCAAACTGTCCCTCAGGAAGGGACATGGCCAGCAGTATCATGACAAACCCCTCAGTCCCAAGCATGTGCTCCACAGCAATGCATAAAGAAACACTCAAGCCATTCCCATTGACAGACCAGTCCTACATCCTGGCGTCACAGGAATGCACTCTGGGTTACCAGGTTCTGCACATTTCCAGTCTGGTTTGTGTTGGAGCCATTAAGGAACTCTGATATTTAACCCAGATGTGATTSCTGCCTCTGACTGGCTCTTGCCAGAAACACATACTTTACTAAAAACCAGATTTTCGTGGCATTTGAATACCACAAGGCAGATTTAGACTGAAAACTCTGGTACTTCCTTCACCAGTCAGGCAGCAGAACTGTACTGAAGGGTGATTATGGTGATCTACGTGTCTAATTACCCAATATGCAAGAGTCATGGTATTTGCATGATGCAAATTAACCATTTTGCAAGCATGCTGGATAGCTAAATGCTATAATTCTCCCCCTTTACTGCCTACTTCCAACATGCTCATAAATGCCAGTTCATCTCTTGGGGCTTAAAACATCTCATCACCCACTAGAGATTTCACTCGAAAATTAATAAAAATGCAAAAAACCTCCTGATATTTCTATTTAGAAGACACTCTTGTCTCCTGCCTGAATTCYGGGCAGACAAACTCCAGTCCACTGCAGGTGGAGACAGTCCCATGTGCTGAGACAGCCCAGGAATGCTTACTGGGAGCACTGGCACTGCGAGGCCTCTCTCCTGAGCCAGCCTGCAGGATGCAAGGCTACTGCTGAGCCAAAGGAAACTCCCTGGTCAGATTCCTGGATCTCCTTCTCTTTCCATGTGTTTGTATGTTAAGTCCAAGCAGATGCAGGAGTCTCAGCCGGCACTYGCACACGCAGTTTGTGCGCAGTCACTCAGCAGCAATCTGGTGGCTGCTGGTGCATTTTTGGGTATCTGCACATTCTAAACCACTGACTCACAGCAAAGGCACACATTTATCTCCAGATGCCTGGCAGGAACATGGGAGCTAAAAAGCACTGGTAATGCACAAGGCTTCCAGCAGCTGGCTATGGAAAAGAAAAATCCTCTGTCTGCTCACATCACAGCATCATTCATTCCTTTTGTTTCACCCATTTCATGCTATTTGATATCAAATAAATTGGGACTTGTCCAGCTGCAGGTAATCTATATTCCTAATTTGTACTTTCAATACCATCAACATSTCTGACTCAGTTTCTGCAGCCTCTCCTCTACATTACCCACTTCTTTCTTGTCTGAATCCCAGCAYTCCCAGCACCTGCTTTCAGTGTAGAGCACTGCTGCACTTTTGAAAATTTCCTTTGTGATACACAACTCCTGCTCTTGTACAAGCAGGCTGAAAAGTTAAACAAGCTGCAATGACATGTGTGCAGAAGTACATTTTAGAGAGGTTTGAGTGTATCTGTCCACCAGTAGCAAAATTTGTGCTGTGCTGCAGGGCCTGTCATGAAGCAGTGTGAGCTCGTGACCATGACAGATCATGTCCTGTGCAAAGCCAAGACAGGAGCAGGAAAACCAACCTGGGTGTAGGTGCAGTTCTTCTTCTTGCATTTCCCACAGGTGAAGAGGTCAGTCTGTGTCCCTCCTGTCTTRGCCATCTGATGCTCCCGGATTGCTTCTTTTGTCATGGCTTTCCTGATCTCTTTCAGCTCATTACTGGCCATTTCCTTTAAAAAAAAAAAAAAGCAATAAAATCACATCTGCCCGGTTTTACCACCACACCCACTACAGTGGAAGCAGCCAACAGGACTCAGCAGCCTGACAGATGGGCATTAAGACAAAAAACCTGTTCCAGTCCTGGTTTCTGGTTCATACCCAGGGCCCCAGGATGATGTGAAGGCCCAACAAACTACTCTCCACAYTGCAAACCCCATTAATAGCACACTCCATGCACTCTGGAAGCAGCTACTGAGGAATCTGCAGCAGCCTAGCCCTTTGCCTCCAGCTAAGCCTCAGGACACATCCCCTGTAAGAAGCAAATCCAGCTCCTCAGGCTCTCTCACCTCCGAGGTCATCACGGCGATCTGCTCAGGGGTGATGGCCCCACACAGCACRTTCTTTTTCAGCTCAGGATTTTTGGAGTCCTTCAGGTTGGAGATGCGGCTCCTCACACGGTTTTTGTATTTCATGTCGGTGTTCTTGACATCCTGGTAGATGCGTAAGGACAGTCAAGGAGCCTGCAACCAACCCAGAGGCATCAAGCACTTCCCAGCCACCCGTGAAGAGCAGGGAGTGTCAACCACTCAGGTGGGTGGACACAGATGAAAGTGCTGGGACCCAACAGTAGCACATGCTCTGGGAGGTCAGTGCTGGATTTGAGAGCAGGTTTAAACAATCTCCAAGTCCAGGGGCTTCCAGCTTGGGCTTTTTCACTGTGCTGGAAATACTCAGTTATGCTCAGTTTCTACAACCTGCCCTTTCATGCAGCAAGGCAGCCACAAACCCCTCCACTAAGAGAGCCCAGCTGCACCTCCAACCCCACAATTCCCAAACCAAGCTTATCTCACTCCTGGCTTATCTCACATTGACATRGAACTTGATCCTCATTGCTCCATCCTTTCCATTGCTTTTGTCTGGATCAGCACACTCTCCTCAACAGGGAGCACAGGGAAGTTGTGTGTATTTGGAAGCAGAATCAAAAGCAGGAAACAGTACTCTGATGGGAAGGACAAACTAGGGATTAGTCCCTGAGCTCCCAACGCCACACTGGTAGCTCCTTAGTGACCCAGGACTCAGCAAGGCAGAGCTGGAACCAGACCCAGAACCCTGACAAGTGGCAGGAGAACATTTATGCACTTTTTTTCTTTGAGCACATGGATTTCACTGCTGGAGGCATGCAGGCAGGCCCGCAAGGAAGCACTGTACAGGAAGGATATACTCTTCAATCTGGGCTGCTATGTGCTCGCAGTCGGCACCGATGGCGATGTAGTCGTCTGTAAGACAGCAGAAACAGGAGCTCAGTGGCTTCCAACCAGGCCAGAGCTCCCCAGGCTCAGTATTTCTGAGTTACAAATCTGGACAGTTTGCTGTTTTGATTTACAGCATCATGTAAAGTGCATAGCCACCATGGATTTGGACACCCAGTATGGCAACCAACACCATAAAGCAGGGAAGGAAGGGCACAGCTGAGCTTAGGGGAAGGCTCRAGGGAACTCCTTCCCAGATTTTATATGGAAAGGGTTTTTTTAAGAGCTGTGCAAAACTTTTAATGCAGCTTATAAACACACACACAGGAAGGCAAGAAATAAAGAATTCATGAACTTCTCCATCTGTCATCTACATTTCTTGGCTCCAAATGAAYACGTTTCAGTGCTTAGACCCCAATTTTTTAAAGGGATCTACAATGTGGACACAACCAGATGTTCAAACTTCCAGAGGTGCTGAGCACCTGCAAGTTGCCTCTCACTCGAGATGACACAGTCTGAATTCAAGAGGGGCCTGTTCCACCCCGGATCCAGAGGACTACAATATTTAAGGAGCTCCTGCCTGCAAAGGCAGCAGATGCTGACTGGCATAAGCRCCATTCCCATAAAGTACTGAGTTACAGCTTCACTTTGTGCCCCAGGGAAGGCAGCTTCACTTTACAGCAATCAGACAAGACCTAGAAAGTGAAGCAAATCCCTACACACCTGAAAGATTAAACTTCTGCACAGACCACCCCATGCTGCAGACCAGAAGACCCCAGTAACCCCATGTTTTTAACAGCCATTGCCTGACATGTTGTACCTCCAGCTCAAGCCAGGTCTCTGGGTAAGTGTCTGAAAATGCTGCAACAGCAGCCACTCCATCAAAAGGGTAACCAGTGGCTAGACTGAGCTGCTGGCAAAATTCCTCTGACAAGGCTGCTCCAGAACAGTGCATTTAAGCTGAGCTGGCACTGACAGTCTCTGTCAGAATGCTCCAGGAGCTGTGAAGGACTTGAAGTGATGCAGGGCTTCCCCCARCACTTACCATCAGCCTGCAGAGCTGCTGTCAGCATCTCCCTGCATTTGTTGCGCACGGCGTCGCAGGTGATGGGGGCCGGAGGGAAGGTGGTGATTTTGGGGGTGGTCGGAGTCTTTGGAGGCTCCTGCCTTTTGTTGGAGCTAAAAAAAAAACTTCACCTGTCAGAATGTCTCAGTTTGGGCCACTGAGAGCAGAGAAGGGAGCAGCAGGTATGTGGCCAAGCATCCTGTTAATCATAATACAAAACCAGTCAAAACACAGTGCAAAGTCATTGTCCCAAATCAGCACAGAGCACAATACAGCAGCCAACGCCCTCAGCCCAGACACGAGCTCTCCTGTGGACACTGCTGGCTGCCAGCAGAGGTTTAATCCATGGACAACCCTGCCAACCATCTTGTGTTATTCAACACAGATCAGCTGCTGCACCACTGGGCATCAAGTGAAAACATTACRGTTGGACACCACCAGTAACCCAAATACACTCAGAATATCTGAGACCATCAGCACTCTCAGTYTGGCAGTGCTGTGCAGATTGGTGGCACATCTTTCCTCTTTAACTTTGCAGGACAGCAAGTCCATAACTGCTTTCAGCAGAAAGCAAGCAGAAAGCTCCAGAAGAAGGAGCTCCGTGCTAAGAAAAATAAAGAAAATGGCTCCTTCAGCTTCAATATTTAAAAAATGCCAACAACAAAGTGTATCACATAAAAGCTTCTTCCTTTTTCCTGTAATCTGAGCAAGACTCTGATTACTCATCTCACAGAAGAGCACCCCTACACAGCCACACACAGCTCATACAGGTGCCAGGCTAGCACAGGGCTAAGAAATATTGCTTTGCTCTTAAAAATAACTCCATTTCCACCTGCGAGSCATCAGGCACAGGCAAGGGAATGCAAACACCTTGCCTGCTGTGGCTGACTCAGTTGGGTCACCTGCCAGGGGAGCTGGATGGAGACCTGCCTGCACAATCAGCACATGATGTRGGCAGGCTGAGTCACTGCTGCGGGGTCTGCATGCGGAGAAGGAACCTCACTGAGCATCTCAGCTGGTTGTGCACCCAGAAAGCCTAACATCTGCACATGCAGTTAGTCAGCCCTGCACATACTGCTGGTAAAAGATCTGGGTTGGTATGATTCACAGATGATCTTCTAGAGCTTTGTTCTCCCCCCTAAATCTAGGCAGCAAAACAGCAATTTTTTTTTTCAGCAGATTGCTCTGGCTTTGGTGATTGGGCTGTAAAATTCACTGTATTTATGGCCAATGCYTGGTATCATTATTGCACAAAGAGACAAAAAGGGAAGAAAAGAGAAACCTCAATATTTGACCCATGCCTGGGAGATACTGGCAGTTATCTCCTTGAAGATCCAAGTGGCTTGACAATTTTTGTTAAGCTGGGTCAYTACTGCCAGTTCTCTGCCATCAAAAATAAATCTGTTATGAACAAGCACTTCCACTACGCTGTCCTGGAAGAGATTAGTCAGCCCACAAAAAAAAAAACAGCGCTAAGCTGGAAACCTTCCGAATCTGCTGCCGCACAAACTGAGCCAGACGACTTTAGGGACTTATCCTGGGAGCTCCTGTGACTAAGGTCATATCCCAGTCTGGCTCAAATCCCACTGATCACCATTGGGGCTACTGGATTTCYGTAGTTCAGAGCCTCACCAAGCCCTTTTCAAAAGCAGTGAACTTGCAGCAAATTGTTCAGGTCAAACCAAAAACTTTTGCTTCTTACTCAGACAAAGGAGATGATGCCCTCTGTGAGGAAGACTGTATTGTGAGTTCACTGTGTTTCTCTTTGACCAGTAGCTGAATAAAACCACTTTTTACCAGGTGGTTTTACTGGTCAGCACTGCAGGAGCCTATTAAAGAACAGATTCRTGTCCAAACAGCTCAAAACATTCAATAGGATTTACACTGCACATGTTACAAAAAGAAGAAACAACTTAGCCTGTAAATAATCCATTAGAGGACGATTTTCTCCCATCTGGAATGCACAAATTGCCATCAGGTACTTTTGTGCTTAAGAAGCTACACACAAATCACAGGCAGCACTCATGGGGATGTATATACCAGAGCATACAYTAAGGAACAACCCATAATTCAGGAATAACCCATCTAAAAAATCACAGCTTCTCATGTTGCATAAAATAGTTTGGAAAAATTAGACTTCCTGAAKGACAAAGGCAAAAGACCTAGAAAACATACTTACAATAAAAGGAAGGACTGAAGGAATATGGGTGGTTTGTGGCAAGGAAAACTTAAAAAGAGACAAGTCCTGAAATTACTTACGAACAAAGATGATGGGAAAAAATCCACAAAAGCATGTAGAAATGGGTTTAGTAAGACAGGTTTTGATTGAGAGCAAGTTTTAAACTGTAAAGGTGAGTTATAAATTGGAAATACTGCCAAGGGCAACTGTGGAAATGTCTCACCCTGAGCTTTTCTAGGACTGTCAAAGGGCTTGAAAAAAGCCTGGCAGGGACAGCTTGGGCAGAGTTTGTGCTGTGCTGGGAAGGGGCTGCAGGAAGAGTCTCCCTGAGAGCTCGTCCAGATTAAAATTTTGTGTCATTTTGCAAGCAAAAAGGTCATCCAGAGCAAAGCACCCTGTGTGAACTCAGTGACCTCAGTGTGAACTCAGAACACTGACCTTCACTACAAGCCCCTAAACACAGGTCTTCAAACCTGTATTTGCAGAGGTAATACCTGATTTTCAGGAAGGTTCTATCTGCAAATGCTATTGACTTARATATTTAGATGTTTATTCCCTGGGGATGGAAAAAAGCTCAACAAGATGTATGGTAGTCCCATTTCTGTTAGCTGATGAGGAAAGATGCATTTGTCTGCACACACAGACGTCACCCATGTCCTGAGATGAGAGCTGATCCCTCAAGAATTAGATGAAACAGACTTCTCAGCCTTCCCAAACACAGAAAATTATTTATTAAGGTTTAGAGGTTAGTTTATAAATAGAATGGTTGGGAAATGGAGCTCAAAAACACCTAGAAGACTTATTTCAGGAAATCCTTGTGGTTCACACTGTTCCTGTTAAACAGGAGAAAGAGCTTGTAAATCTATCCAGGCAGCAAAAGTTTATACATAAAACAAGGCTATGCTGGAACAAAATGGTGACAAAGCAGCAGCCAGGGACTGCAAACAGAACTCAGGGCTGCACTGGAAGAAAATCCCACAGAAGATCTAAATTMAGGCCACAGATCCAAAACCTCCTAATAAAGGCAATTTAGAGAACCCTGGAAAAGAAAACTTCATGCTGCCAGAGACAGAAACATTAGACAGAGCCCATTAAAACATACTACACTATGGGTCTGAAATTCTACAGCACAACAGAATATGCTTTGGATTAGAGTAATGCAGCATCTAAATTCACAGGTGCCAGCTCCACGCTAGCTGGCTCAGAGCCTTCAGGTCTTGCAGTGATAGCTCCAGTCACTACACAGGGATTTCTACATCTGTGCTCCAGAAAGCAAGAAGAGTTTCAGGCCAAGAGTTAGTCAAATATTTCTCTCTGACCAAAGTGGAAGGCCTAGCCAAAATCTATCAGACAAAGAGGCTGAAATATCTGAATACAAACTGATCTCTTTGGTGCCTTGACAGCAGCCTCATCTGAACCAGCTATCACACACTGAGSAACCAGTCAGACTCCACTGCAGCCTTTGCTTCAAAGAACAGAGACTCTTCTCTGCTAATAAATTATTATTTTTTTAAGACAGATTAGTAGTTCATTTTGCAGAACTGGAGAAAAAGCATTCCTGTGTCTGGAAGAGAGCCTGGCTCAACTGACTGACACCAGGAGTTGGCCCCTGCTCCTGGTCTAGGCTACACTAATCCATTGGCTTCTGTTCATTGTGCACAGCCAAGGGGATGCTTTGCTAGTCAGAAGATGGAGGCTGAATACATGTAAAAAGCATCCAGGACTAAAAAAAACATCAAACTGCAGTATCTGCAGCACATTAAGGCACAAAGGAACATCAGCAGCACAAGCCAGACAGTTCCACACTACATACCCCACAATATGTGACCAAGCAAGGAGGCAGCAAGGAGGGGTTTTGTCTCTGTGCCTACAGCCAAGATCCTGTTCCGAGTGAAATCCCACAGAGATCCGCACAGATCTGGACAGCCCTGCCTCCCATTCTGCACTGCATCACTGAACTTGATCCTGGCTGGGAAATCTCCCCAGTCCTTTCATTGCAATACTTAGCAAATCCTTTTTCCCATTTTATGGAAGCAAGATAACCAAAGATACCAATAATTTAAAGTCATAGCACTCAGCATCAGCAGCCTTCTCTCCATCAGCAGCTCTGTGTCGAGCTGYAAAGGCTCACCCTGAAGTGCCAAGCCTTGACAGAGCAGAGCAAAAACAAAGAAGTGACAAGAAAGCAACTAACAAAGGCTGCAAACATGGAAAATCGTGCAAACAGCAGGACTACAGCCTGAATACTCTAAATCTTCTGTCAAACTTGGGAAATTGGCTAGATCACTCAAGAGCCAAATCTAGGAAGCACACATCCTCCTGGGATCTGAGGCTGAGAGAAGYCTCTAGAATAAGGCTTTAAATCCCATTTTTCCCCTCCCCTTTGATCACTGTCTGCACTCAACAACTGCAGTCACAGCAAGGGAAACAGGAAGCAGCATTCAAAGCATGGCAAGGAGCAAGCGTGCAGCTGACCTGCCAGCTAGGGGACAGCAACCACAGGGAAAAGGGGACTGCTGCTGGGATTGTCAAGGACAAAGAAAATGGAAGTTTTACTTTAATAATCTATCAATCAATTCCATCCATCACTGGACACTGCAAAGGCCAAAAATAATCTTCATCCTAAGCAATTCAAAGCTAGAAAGAAATAAAAATACATTAAAAAAATGCAACATAAAAAAAGAACAGAGGAATGTTCCACCAACAGAAAAGGCAGCACATAACCAAGAGTAAAAACCATGAAAATAAAATATGAATAAAATTTTAAAACTTACTAAAGCCACTGTATTTTGTGGGTGTGTATTTCTGCATTAAAGTTAATTAATAGCACCACACAGATCTACCCTGAACAAGAAACACTTCCAGTGTCTCTGACCAGGAATTTGGCTACACAAAATTCCTGACTCAAGACACTTAAAAATAAAAATTAAAGTAAGGTGCCTTAAGAAAATTTTAATTCTGTAACAGTATCATCTTTGGTAAGAGGGAAGTATTACCTTTGGTCTCTTGAGTTACCAGTCTCCTTGGAGGAAGATGTTGGCAAGGACAGGCTTTTCTTTTTCTCCTCATTTTTTTCCTCAGAAGCATCTATGTTCAAAAGAGGAATCAGTTCAGAACTGGTCTTTATGCTACAGCTCTGCCTACACTCAYCAGTGTTTTCACACTACCCACTGTTGGCCTAGGGCAAGTTATTATTCTCCCAAAAAGAATCAGAAGAAAGGCCTTTATGGCCTTCCTGCTTTTCAAGAGACCTTTCCTTGCCTCCCAGTAGAAACTAATTCAAACAAAAGCTTTCCTCACCAAACTAGAGAGCAATCACCTTCCCTGCCTGGGAGATAAGCTTCCTCACAAGACATGCCTCATCACAAAAGTTTCTTTCAGAGGCTGCTGAGCAGGGATTAGATCSAGTTCTCTCAAGCACCACTAAAAGCAGAATTTCCAGCCAACACCAGCTGAAGGGCTAGTACAGGCTGGTCCTTGTGGGAGTACAGCTTCTTCTGATTCCCAAGTGCTGCTGAAAGCCAACAGCACAACCCTAGAGAGGACTTTCATGACACTGTAGAACATGTTTGACCCAGAGGTAAATTGTCTGAACMCAGCCAATACATGCCCAACCTAATGAGGAGGTGACAATCCAGGCAGGACAGAAAAAGAATGCTTTTAACACTCATCCAACCTAGAAAGAAATGGGAGTCTGTAAGTGGGAAAGCCTCCCAGCTGGAAACTGTCCATGTGAGTTTATCTACAAGGTGGTGAATTAAGATCCTTCTCCAACTCACCACCCAAAATGCATTCCAGCACTTCTAGAGCTGTTGCATGAGGCTGACAGCACACAGTGTAAATACCACACAGAGCACAAGTAGGAGCAGAGGGTTCAGAGCACAGATACTGTTTCTACAAATAACACAGTTAATTATTRTATGAGATACAAGTTAATAGTCCTGAAGCTTTCAATGTTCTTCCAAGGATGAGCTGGCTAAACAGCAGATAAACCTAGGGGTATGCATGATAGGACACAAAACTCGATAGACAGAGGGTGGAATGGTAAATGTTGATTTGCTAGCATGTTTTATTCAGATCAAGAGATAAGATCTACMAAAAAACTCAGCCTCCCACTGAACCCAGCTTTTTCACAAGCTGACTCTTGACAGGAACATGCTGATTTCCTTACCTAGAAGTTTCTTCCAAGATTTGATGAGGGATTTGGCAAGTGATATCACTTCTTCATCTGTGCTCTGCTTCCTCAGTGCATTCACCGACATCCCAATGCGGGTGGACTGCAAGGGAACACCCCAGTGAATCACCCCAGAACACATTTGTTATTTGTTACTAACTGAAATCTCAAATAACCACGACAAAGTCAAAAAGATSCCCAAGATATGAGGATCCAAGGGCTTGCAGAATGATTCTACGACCCTTACAACTTTGGAAGAGCAAGATGATGTTCTCCAGCTTCCTTAAACTGAGCAGAAGACACATCCAATCTCCCACAAATCCCTTCCCTACACACCTATAAGTGATATTCAAGCTTAGAGTGAAATACGCCAAGATGCATCACAACCTATAAATTGCAATTCTTCTCACTCATCCCCAGTGTCCTGAATACCACCGTTACAAAGAACTTCCCACTACCCTCTGTGTTTGCTACTTTAACCCAGTCTCTCCCCTTTTTGCTGCCTAAAACCAAGATTTGAGCAGTAACCCACTTTTGTCTCATCACCTGTGCACAAGACACAGGCAGCACACAGTGACCCAGRGCTTCCAGTCCAAAACCCAAGTTCAGCAGTATTTTATCATATTTAATGTTTATTTTAATACTTTGCATCAGGCAAGAAGTGTAAGGAAATCTATTAAGGTTATYTTAGAGAACATTTTGAACTCATCCAGATGCAGACTTCAGCATTTTACCATAACTGTGCAACTCACCTGCAGTAAATCCAAAGTCATAGGCATACTTTTCAGTTCTTTCAGTAAATCCATTGCACCTTCCTGGGGAGAAAAATAGAATGAGTGCCTCAGATTTTAGTAAACAAATTCAACAGCTTGGAAGTAGACACAGAAAGCCGAATTCAAAGGGAAAAACACCAACAAGTGTCCCCTGAAMCATCAGCAAGCTCACTGCTGAGATTGCTGTTCCAGACAGACAGTAGATCCTGCAAAATGAAGGCACCTGAATTATTGGAATGGGCAAAACAGAAGACCACTGGAGTGCTACAGGTCTTTTTTTTRTGTATGGTACAAGTGCAGCATTAGTTTGTTATCCTTACCTGGYAGCTTAACGTTTTTAACACCTGAAAAACACACTCTGAATCACAATTGTCAACAACTCCATGTAGCTGTTTCCTAGTTTTCTTATTAACACGCCACTCTGCCCAAGACAAGAGCTGAGACCAGGAGCAAAGCCAGCAAGCTGYGATGCTAAAGAGTTGAAACTTGTTCTGTAAGTTTCCTTATACCATCTCTACATCCTAGAATGTGGGTCCGGGAAAAATCTGACTAGGRATCTGCAGATACCTAAAACTGGCAGCCACTCAGAGAATTGGCAATCACTTGTCTCCCTCTAGCAGATCCCAGCCTGGCATATGCCTGTCTCCATTCAGCTGGCTCTTTCCTCCCAACCCCCTTCCCTCAAACAAGGCTTCCAGTGTTCACATTTAGCAGATCATTTACAACACCAACCACTCCAAGCCCAGTTGCAGCACAAGGTTTGCACAGCCACCACTGTAGGGAAGCGAAGCCGCCTGCACTGACAGCCCTGTCCTCACATCCCATCCTCCTTACGCAGAAGGGCTGCTTCCCTTATCCCAGGAAGCAATCCAGCTGCAATCCACCCTACAGAACAGATGCCAAAATCAAAGCAGAGTCAAAAGCTTTCAGYGTGTGCACAAGCAACTCACACCAGCATAAACCACACGCATTTACCCGTACCCAGAACGACTGACTTCCCTCTCAGGCAGTTTCACACTTTTCCATTCCTCCAGCCCTGAACACAAAGTGACCCGGTGATTCCTGACTTCAAATGGAGCCACTTGGCACAATGGCAGCAAATGAGGATCCACAAAAAAACTAGAGCAACAAACTGGTACTCCAGGAAACTGTCCTGCAAGAAGAGTTCTCAGATTAGCCAACACACAACATGCTGCAGTTCAGCATCATCTCAAACACCAGCCAAGAGGAAACGTTGCATACCCCTCATGTAAGAAGCTGCCTCTTTCCCAATGAAGCTGGAAGCAAATTCTGCAAAGTTGCTCCTTTCCTATTTCAACACTGGAGCTGAAAACCTGCCACCAACGAAAACAGACATCACAGGCTGTGCTTTAGCCCAAACACACTTCCCTGGGTTGTTACAACAGYGACACAAGTGACAGTGCTCATCCTACCCACGGCTGGCAGGGCCGGTCCAATATCCAAAAGTTCACTTGATAACAGCACCCAGCATCCCACCACACGAATATCACACTTCTTTAATCCCTTCCCCTCCACGCCCATCATCTCCCACTCCCCACAGACCTTCCCAGCCCCAAAATCCCTCTCCCCCACCCCAAACACAAACRTACAGCCTACCTCCATGACAAACTCTTGTCAGCTTGCTGCCTTAGCACTTGCATGACACTGYGTTCCCACAAGCACTGATATAATCCCATTAAGATGGAAAATACCRGCTACTGTCCCCCAAGGCTGTCACACGGGTCACAGCACACCACCAGAGATTCCCCAAGTGCCGACAGCAGCTTGGCCAGCCCTCCACACTCCAGAGGCCACGGGAGTGAGCAGTAATGCTAGTGTGGGATGGAGATACGGGAAGCAAATCCATCAGCACCGGGGTTTTCCCCGAGGGCAAACTGGAGCCCCAGACCCGTGCTGGTGGGGACTCCCCTTCCAAAGGGCTCCCAGTGGGACAGGAGAGGAGGGCTGAGGATGTTCTCCAGGAGAACACAGCGTAGGCAGCACAGGGCGAGCCCCGGGGTGCCGAGATCTGGGCTGGGGGTGCCAAAGGCCCGYGTGGGGGGCTCAGCGTGGGGACGGAAGGTTCCCACAACACGCAAGAGGGCACACGGAGCTGCCTCCTCAAAAATGGGCAGTGGGCGGATTCCACACCGCCGCAAGGGATGGCGAAGGGAGACAGAGACGAGGTCTGGGRGAGGGAGCCCCACTTTACCGGGGGAGCCTCTGCTCCAGCACAATATAACAACTGGGGCGGCACTGAAAGAGAGGCCCCCAAAATGGGGGCTGGGGCGGGGGAGGCCCCGCACGACGGGCACCGAAGGAGCGGTGGGGTCCACCAGCACGGCAGCGAGGAGGGAGCCCCGCGGAGAGGAGGGGCCGCGTCCGCCAGACAAGAGCCCAGGGCAGGGGGCGGCTCCCCACCCCAACCGGGCTGCGGGGGCCCCACCGCCGCCACTCACCGCGTTCTTCTTGGCCACCATCTTGTCCAGGCGCCTGGCGATGCGCACGATCTCGTCCTCCCCGCCCATCGCGCCGCTCCCCGGGATCGGTGCCGGGGCCGGACGGGGGTCCGGGCGGGGGGAGCTGCGGCCGGTGCCCGGTGCCCACCTCAGCCCCCGGTGCCGCAGTCAGGGCGGGCACGCGCGGGGCACGACGGGAGTTGTAGTCCTCGGGGCGCCGACCCCACCCGCTGCCTGCAGGAGCGCAGCCCACCGGCGGGACTTCATCTCCCAGCGACCCCCGCGCCCGCCCCGCGCTGTGCCGCCCGGCCGCCGGGGGCGCTGTGGGGGCTGCGGTTCAGCCCGCGGAGGGGGCTCGGAGCKGCGGCGGGGCTGAGGGACCCCCGGTACCGCCCGGTACCCGCCAGAACACGGCAGGAACAGAATGTCCTGAGGAGGCCAAGGAGATAACGAACACCTCTGCAGTGGAGATAGGCTGAGAGCTGCGGGGTTCAGCCTGGAGAAGGGAATGCTCCGGGGAAACCTTAACGCTCCTTCCTGTGCTGAAAAGGCTCCAAGAGAGCGGGAGAGGGGCTTTGGACAAGGGCCTGGAGAGGCAGAGCAAGGGGGAATGGCTTTACGTTGACAGAGGGAAGGGTTAGATGGGATATTGGAAAGAAATTTTTCCCTGTGCGGGTGGTGAGGCCCTGGCACAGGTTGCCCGGAGAASCTGTGGGTGCCCCGTCYCTGGAAGTGTTYAYRKCCAGGTTGGACGGGGCTGGGARCAACCTGGGACAGTGGGAGATGTCCCTGCCCRTGGGTTGGAACACGAYGAGCTTTACAGRCCCCTGCCAACCCAAACCATTCTGGGACTGTGTGACTATTGTCCATGGCTGTGCTGAGCCCTCGGAGCAGTGCTGACCCCGCTCCCTGGATAACCCGAGGCTGTGGCCTCCATACGACCTTGGGGACTGGACAGCAATCCCCAGCGGTGGTGAAGGGCCGGCTGGTGTGGGGGGAGTCCAGGCTTGGACCCCCTGTAGATGGCACTCGTACACTGTGTGAGGACAGCGCATCCCCCGGGAGCTGCTGCTGAGCGCTGTCGCTGCCTCCAGCTGGTTCCTGGCAGAGGGAGAACTTCCATTCCTCCTCCTGCACAACCGCCTGCACAGCCCTCGCCAAGCGCCGATGTTTCAGGGAGGGCCCTGACTGTGCTGGTGAAGAGCGGCCGTGTCCTGCCCCGGCGGGGCTGCAGATCATGTGGAAGCACGGGGATGTGCTACGTGTGGCCTCGGGATGCACAGTCAGGGCTTGCAAACCAGAATTTCCACCGCTCGTCTCYAACTGCATTCTGTCCTGGGGCAGCTGAACCACGGAGGGCGTAATCACAGAATCACGGATTTGATGGGGTTGAAGGGCTTGGAGATCACCCATTCCACCCCCCCTTCAAAATCAGGGTCACATAAAGCAGGTGACACAGAAGCTCATCCAGCTGGGTTTCTAATATCTCCAGAGAGGGAAGTACTGAAAAGATCAGTGATTTGGGTGGCTGTCCCCCAAATTTGCCCACTAGGTACCTAAAGCTGCCAAGTTTCTGTTCTTTACAGCAGCTCTTATGGAGCTGGACACACATCTGGGATCCCCTTGAGCTGCTCCCTGGATGTGTAAGACATATTTCAGTTCATCCCTAAATCAGCAAAGGTGGCCCCAGAACAAATATGAACCCCAGACCCACTGCCTGGCATGACACCTTGAAACTCCTTGGCTTGGCCCCATGTTTGCGAACACAAGTTCCCTCCAGCCCACCGTCTGGAGCCTGTGCAGCTCCTGGAAATCCTCCAACACTTGGCAGGGTCTGGMTGTGGAGTGAGGGGGTGCCCTTTTGGAGAGGCCCACCTCTGTGAAGGAGGAGGAAACAAGTCCCAACAACGGGACCTTCTGGAGGTCCTTGGAAGCAGGCAGCTGCCTGTCCCGTGTGTGGGGTCGGGTCACGCCRGTCCTTGGCGTCAGAGACACGCTCGAGCGGCACTGCTGCCACTGTGAGTGTGGTTTGTGTCGCTGCAAAGTGAAGATGATTCCTGACCACAAGTATGGCCGGGGACGTGTCTCAGATTCCAGAGCGCACAGTCACTGATGCAGAGTGCCGTCACCCCGTCGCTCCCTGCCTCGAGCGGGAGCCGTCACCCTGCCAGCGCTGGCCTCCCGTGGTGGCAACCAGCCTCACCCAGGCCCCACTGCTGCCTGCCTGGCAGCAGGTCCCCGAGGGACAGAACGGCACGAAATCCTCACGCCTGCAGCCCTGTGTGCCCACCGGGCATGTCCCCTGTCCCTGTCCAGGAGCACAGGGCAGCTCTGCAGCCCAACCCTGCTGGCCCGCAGCTCTGCTCTTCCCAAGGGTTAACAGGACGCGACAGGCCAGGCGTTTTGCTTTGCAGAGCGGGGAGGGTTTCTGGCTGACCTTGGCTGGGAAGCAGCGGTGGCGTCGCTCAGCCCAGCCCCCCGAGCGTGGAGCCGGTGGCCAGAGCGCTCCCCAAGCCTGGGTGGAGGTAGATCCAGAGGAAACTCCACCTCCGCGGGAGCCAACCTGCTATTGCAGGAATTCCCAGAGAAATTCCTGCTCAGGGTGACCTGTCAACGGATCTATGAACTTTATTTTACCTCTTGTGAAAGCAGCTACTTGAATGTGCTAAAAACAGAGCAGGGGCGAGTCTGTCAGGGAGAGGCTGGGAGGGGGCTTTTGCTGACCCCTGCACACAAGARACACSSTGAAAGTGTCTGTATGTGGTGCCTTGCTGACAGCTGTCTTTGGCAGGCAGAGCTGGGAGAGCTAGGAGTAGTTTCCTGCAAAATAAAACCCCACAAAATCTCACCTGTTTTTTTCACTGGGCTACTGTATTTCCCAAGTGACTCCCAGCAGATTTGAGCACAGCAAATGGGCTGGATCAAGTTGCTTATTTGCTTTCCTTGCTTTCAGTATCCCCAGAGAGTTCAAGTCACCATTATTCATTTGGAGATCAACCACAAAACCCCACCCTTTCTCTGCTCCCAACCACAGGAGGCTTGGTCTGGTCCACTTTTGGAAAAAGCAGAGATGAGAGGCCATCCTGGGCCTGCCTTRTCCATCCACCCACCCTAAAATCCTCAGGGAAGCTCTGTCCTGAGATACCACCTAACTTCAGGGGTGCTCAGGTCTCCACGACCTCATCCTTGGGGTCACTGCTTGGAGRACTGGCTGTCATGGGTGACACACTGGGTCTGAGCTGGTAATTTRTGATCCCATCCAGGGAACAACAGACAATCAGTAGCTGATAGACCTTGAGGCAGGAGATGGGAGCAGCTGCCATAGGTTTGCCAGAGCTCCACTTATTTTAAGGAGGGGTTTTGATGTGTCTCCTCTACTTCTCACCCTTGTGAGCCTGCCTTGACTGGAGAACTCCTGACTCTGATCCTCTAACCATGCACTTGTGCCAACCCTGGAATGGAGGCAGAGATTCGTCTTTCTTCCCCTCCTTGCTGCAGCTGTTTGATGTCCTTAATCTCCTAGCCCTGGCACTGGGAACATTTGACCCTGAAGCAGTCAAATTCTCCATTCAAACACTTAGGAAACCTGGAAAATGTGGCTTGAGTGGTGACTTATATTTCTGYCTTACAGACCATCCTGTTGTCTCCTTTGAGGAGCCAAGGGACCTCTCCACACCTCATCTTGTGGCACAGGCCCTCGTAACACAACAGAAAGCATCATGGTTCCCAGGAGATATTGCAGGATCCATCCATGCCTTCTGGAAGAGCAGCCCAAGAGGGTCCATGTCCTCCACTCCCTGCATCCTCCCCTGCATCTGTCCTGGAGCTGCAGGTGAGCACCCAGGCCTGGGGACACAGCCATCTGGACCTCMTGGGACAAGTCCTTCACCAGGAAAGGTTGCAAAATTTGGCTACAGTGGGCAGCAGCTGCAAGTGGAACATGGCCAGGACCACCCTGTGTGGTAGCCCAGCCTCTGCCACCCTGCAAAACAGGGGGCATGGAAGGGAGGATGCAGAGGAGATGATGGCTCCCATGGGCCCTGCTCATCGTGAGTGCCAGGGTGGAGTTTGGACCTCCAGCTTTGCAGATGCTCTTCTGAGACACTTTGGATTTTCCCTAAACCTCTTCCTTCTAACGATTTTAATTGTACTGGCTGCTGTTCAAAATAATAATGACAGGGAGATGAATAAATGCTAGGCAGCAGCCTGTCACGCTTCGTGAGCTGCCCTGAGGGGATGCTGGGCCAGACAAGCAGCTGGCCCAGAGCCATGCCAGCCAAGTGGGTGCAGGCTGCCACCCCACACTGGCCAMCAGCAATTTCTGGGGTCTGGGCTGGCCTGTGTGAGCGTGAGAGCCTGTGCAGACACTCAGGTCTCCCTTCTCTCCCCCTCTGTCTCCTTTTATTCTCCTCCATAAAACATAGGAAGTTCAAGCCATTCATTTTGCTATTTGTGTCTCCTTCCCCACGCCCCGGTTCCCTCCCTTGCCCCCTGCAGCCTCTCCGCTCTCTGCTTGCCCAGCATCCTTGACCCCGAGAAGTCTGGTGTGTATGCACTTCCCTTTTGGCCCATGGAAAGCACCACTGAACTGGTGCCTTGATAAGTCTGCTGTGGGAAGGCAGGGGCTCCTGGGCTCCCACACAGGGCTTTCCCATGTAGCGTTTCCTATGCTGTCCCTGCTCACCCGTGTGATCTCCAGACCCGGGCAGTGGGAAGCTCTCTGGATGGCACTGCCCCTCCATGGAAGCAGCTCAGTCCTCCTCAGGATCTCATGACTTGCTCTGTGGCAAAAGCCACTGTGTGTGGAAGCAGGCATTCTCTCTCGAGGAGGAGGATGATGATGGTTGGCTTCTCATGGACTAGCATGGCACCTCTCAGCTCAACCACAGCAAAGGGTTACAAAGGGCTCGAACCCCCCAGCCCCTTTCCCTCAGCACTTTTGCAAGCAGAACTCTGATATTCTCTACCGCAGAGTTTGGGATCAACGGGACCTGTGTCCTGTCAGCAAAGGAGCGAGCATGTGGCAAAGCAAATAGGATTGGGGTCGAGACCTCGGAGCAGCTGGAGACAGGGATTGACTGRCAGAGAGGGAGGTAGGAGAGGCTCAGTCAGGAGGGCTGGGGCCTTTTCTCTGAAATAAACTCAGCGGTTCAGCCGTGGTTTTGCCGGAGGGCGAAGGCAATGTGTTCCCTCCTCACTGCC